CGCACGATCAGCGCACGGCATCGGGAGAGCCTCGCACAGACTTAAAGGCTCAGGAACACAGCGACCTGGTCCTGAGAAACTCCAAAACTTAGGAAGAGTGCGTTCAGCCTCGCCACATGACAGGTCAGCAGCCAGCATGCTCGGGGACATCCCAGGACCCGCGAGCCCCACAGTGTGCGGGTCCCTGGGAGCCAGGCCTGACCTGAAGGCTGAGGCGGCTGCAGAGATCACTCGGGCTCGCGCCAGGTCTTGACTCCGCCGCTGCCGTTCAGGGGTCTGTGGACTTAAGCCCCAGACCAGGCTCCCTGACGCCTCGGGGTCACCGCGTCCCCATGCTCATAAGCACGCCCATTTCATTTTCCTCTCAGTGGATATACACACTCAGCTCTTCCCCCTGGGATGGCGAAACCAGTTTGAGGCGTGCAGGGCTGGGATCTGGGTGTGGGCCGGGGGCGCGGGGCAGATCCTGGAGGCAGCGCCCAGAGGCAGGGGGCGCCGAAAGGGGAATGGAGGGCCTGAAACCACAGGCGTCCCTGCCCGGGGCTGGGCCCGCCCTCGCCCACAGGAAGCGGGGCGGCCGGTGGCGATGAGGAAGCGGCCACAGGTGCTGCAGGAGGTGGCGCTGCCCAGAGGCCACAGCCAGCAAGCCTTTGGACAGCTGGGATCCACCGCGGGGCCCTGGAGCAAGCTGTGTGGGGGGGGGGGCACCAGGAGGGTGGGCGCTGCTCCACGTGACCGGGTGCGACAGGAACGAGCTGGGGAGAGGACCCCTGGGAGTGTGACCGTGAGGCCCACGGACGTGGCAGAGCAGAGAGAGGCCTGGGGCTGACTCATGAGGGAGAAACAACATCTCTGGATGGTTCGCACAGCCGACGTCACACAGCGCCGGGCTGACAACACATGGGAAAGAGGAAGTGAGATTTGTTAGCTGCGCCCAGGTCCACGCAGTGCACTGCAGGGGACGGCTCGGTACCAAATTATCCTTAGTATGCAAATTTCCTCCTCAAGCGGCTGGTTCCCGTTGTGCACAGCGACCCTGGTGGGTGCATCTGCTTCCCGTCCTGGGACTCACCGGGTGGCCGCAGCCCATCTGCTTGGCGGGGGGTGGGGGGGCTGCACCCTGGGGAGGGACCCGCGGGGCTGGCTCCTTGAGCAGGGAGGGGACAAACAGCTGGCTCCCCTAGGACACCCCGCCCCAGACAGCAGCAGCCACAGGGGACAGAGCCTAGGGATGTCGCCTCATTTCTGTCCGTGGCCTGGCCCGAGTATAAAAAGCAAGGGACTTCACGGTGAGGTTTCCACCTTCCTCGCCAGGAAAAGATGCCCAGAACTTGGCACTTGTGAAGCCTCAGGGGCAGGCCGAGGTCTGGGCCCCATGGCGCTCTGACTTCCCCGCTTCCTCCGGCCACTTCTGTCGTAGGCCAGCCCGCTGTCTCTGGCGCCCACTAGTCACCTCTCCCGGGAGCCGCTCCCCAAGGGGCACTGCGCATGTCGACACTCAGCCACTGGCTTCTTCTCAGCCCCCTCCTCGTCTGGTCCACTTTAGGGGGCCTGTTCATGGCCTCCGTTTGGCAGAGAGAAGGGCTGGGGTCCTGGGCTCTGGGACGGCCACCTTCCCTCCATGGCTCTTCTACCTGGTCTCCCCTCCGTCCTCCCTGCCCTCAGGCACTGTCCTGTATCTGTCACAGCCTCCCGTGGTCACTGACTGTCAGATCTCCGACCGCTCTCGAAAGCGGGCCCGTGCTCCTCAGCCGGGCGCTTGAGGAAAAGCTGCCCCTCTTCACGCCCCCCGTCTCCCCCCTCCGGCTCAGGGCCGCCTCCTCCCTCCTTCCTGCGCACTGTCTTTGTCCCTTCAGGCTGCGGTGACACAGCCCCAGAGGCCAGGCGGCTTATAAACAACGGGCATTTACTTCGCATGGTCTGGGAGCTGGACGTCTACAATCGGGGCCAGGTGAGGCCCTTCCGGGCACCGACGTCTCGCCACGGCCTCAGGCGGTGGGGCGCGGGGCTCCGGGAGTCTGTTTTACAAGGACACTAAGGCCATTCCCACTCGTCCCACCGTGGGGGCCCCACCCTCATGACCTGCTCACCCTGAAGCCCACCTCCCGCATCGCCGTGGGGGCGGGATCTGCAGTTACGAATCTGGGGCGCGCAGGCGTGGTCGGGCAATCTCTGCCCCCGCGGGGCTCCGGGTACCGTCTCGACACCAAGGACCCGGCAGTGCGTGAGGGAAACGAAGCCCCAGAGGCTACAGACCGGCGGCCCCGCTGCTCCCCTCTGTCGGCCTGCGCCCCAGCCTCCTGCCCGTCCGCCATGCCTCCCCAGCTCTCAGGATGTCTGTCTCTCTCTCGCCCCGGCGGCCCCCCATGGCCTGTCGGTCACCATCGGTCCCCCGGCCCCAGGAACTGGCATGCTCCCTCGTGCCCGCCCGGGGTCGGCGCGGGTTCCAGCCCCTCTCCCGTCTGGCGGAGCAGGGCCTCGGCCTTCTCAGGGGTGCCTGCACCCAGGGCGAGGGCTGGCGAGCCCACTGTGCTCCCCCCTGAAGCTGTGTCCTCTCACTTGGTTTTAGGGGAACACAGCCAGTGTTCTGGCTCCCACCCCCAGTTCTCTCGTGCATATCAGGGTTGTTTTCAACTCAAGGGGGGAGAGAGAGATCCTGTTAACTTTTCCTCCTTCCCCAGAAAAAGGGGGTCGGGCTGGAGAAGAGGGTCAGGGCCGTGCTGCCTGAAGGAGCCGGGCTGGGCCCGGCCGGGGCAGCTGGTCCCACACGGGCGCGTAGCCCCCTGCAGACCTCCAGCTCCAGACCATCAGGCGTGGGGCTCTGGAATGTGCATTTTTAATGCCCACCCAGGTGGTTCTGTGCTGCATGTGAGAGCTGGATCCTGGGGGCTCACAGGACACACTGGGGCTCCGGGCAGCCCGGAGCTGGGGGCTGAGACCGCGGGTCGGTGGTGCCGGGGGCCAACGGGAGGTGGGAGGCTGGGCCGAGAGGCATGACGGTTACTCTGAGAGCCGAGGGAACCCGCTTCCCCTCGCTAGAGGCGAGAGGGCCAGGCTACTTGGGGACAGGACGGTAAGACAGACATGCGCAGGCGCTGGCAGCCCAGCTCCACTCTGCACGGCCGCTGTGCCTCGGCAGCCGCCCTGAATCTAGTGACAGAGCCAGGCCAGGGGGCTCAGCACGACGCCGTGGGCTTGGGAGGGCCACGCATCCCTGCACTGGTGGCCTGAGGATGCCCCGAATCCCCCACTCAGGTCCTGGAGTCCCCTCCCGTGCCCAGCCCTGTGTCTGGGGTTGATAGGGCAGGCAGGGCAACGGACTTGGGAAATGGCTGGAAGGACTCTGTCCCTGGGGGATCCGCACGCCCCCCGTGACAGCGGGAGGGGCACATGGCCTCCACGACGGCGCGGTAATGGGAAACGAGATCAGAGTCTCCGGTCTCTGGTCTCTGGGCCCCCAGTTCTGACCTCTAGTTCCCCAAATTTCACACTCACGTTTGCAACATAGTGCGGCTTTGAAATTCCCAGCTTTTGTCAGGAGCAGAGGGGATGAAACCCACACGGGACGCCCCAGTGGGACCTCGGAGACGGGTGGTGGGGCCTCCGGTCCTGCTGCGGGTGTGCGGGGGACAGCGTCAGGCCAGCAGCCCTCTCTGGGCCCTGCGCCAGCCGCCGGCTGCATCCCGCCTGCCACGTCCCGCCTGGACTCCGGGGCTGCCCTGGGCCCACAAGGCTGGCCGTTCCTGACTCCTCCCTCGGCCAGGTGTGCAGGTGGACTGCTCCAGTCCGTGCCACCACCCCGAGGAGGGGCCCCTCCAGTCCGCCCTCCCCCCGCAATTGTGTGGTGGCCACCCATTTGGGCACAGAGAGTGGCTGCGCCCCAAGTCACTAAGTTTGCAGGGAACCAGAGGAAGGTAAATGGACACCGCGGTCCGAAGCGCCAGGAGGCCGTGCTGAGAATAATCATTCTCAGGACGACGTCGAGTATAAGGCGGTGAGAACCAGGGAATGAAGTCTGTCATTCGCTGGAGGCTCCTGCCGTGAGATCAAGGCTCACCCTCGCCCAGCGGCCATGTCCCCGGCCGTGTCCCCAGCTGCGTCCCGGCTCCAGGACGAGCTGCAGGCGGTCGGTCGTGAGCCGGGAGGCCGGGAAGTGACCATTGCGAGCAACGCTGCTCGCCGTTTCTTCAACACACACTTGTCAAGCTTCGCCAGGAGTCAAGAGCAAAGACAGGCACAGACACCGTCCTGTCGCCACCAAACCCCACCCCTCGGAGTGTCCTTTCCCCCTTAGCTTGAGCCCAGGTTGTTTCTAAATAAGTGTAGAGATGCTTTATTCTTTGGACCTGGTCACCAAGAAGTGACAGGGTGTAGCTATAACACGGTGGCCCCGACTTGTAAACGGGTGTGTCGTCACACCTGTCTCTGTGCGTGATGGGTCCTTTCGGAGAGGCAGCCTCAGGAGATGCACTCTGGCCGGCGACGGCTCTGACGGCCCCTTGGGAACTGACACCAGGGTCTGATGTGGGGCAGATGACCTGATGACCTTATTAAAGCTTCACCTCACTGGGACCGAATGTCGCGCCCTATAATCTTGGTCACCTCGCCTTATTTACCAGATCTGAACCCGCGTGACGCCTGGCTATGTCTCTCAGAGGGACAGAGGACTTGCACTCACATCTGCAGCCACATGTGTCTGCGGCAGAGCCCTGCCTGAAACATGCAGCTTTGCAGCTGAGGGTCGTGATGACGGGTGGCCACCGCGGCCAGCCACTGACCTCCGGGCCCTCGGCCGTGGGCCTGCCACTGTGGCAGTCTGCGGCGAGCCGGGCAGAGCCCTCGCTGCCCACGACCTCCCCCACCCTCGGCCCGCACCGCTGGGGCAGGTGATCCAGGGCCCCGCCTCTGTCTCTGAGGGCATCCGCGGGGCGGCGCAGCCCTGTAGCGCCCTCTCTCAACCCAGGCGGACTTCGCGAGAGGGGCAGAGATCGTATTCTTGCATTTATTAGTTCTATGACTACAGAAGAAGCATCTCGAAATGTGTACAAAAGGCTGCTCTGTTCCTCCAGGACACACCCCCTTGTCCGTAGCTAAATAGAAAGAAGTTATCATCACAGAGGCGGGCTGGGAACCAACTGCGTTTCCTCATTTACAATCCTGTACACGTATTCGCCGGGGTGGTAGCTGAAGATCTACGGCTGCATCGGATACAAACAAATCGGACCTACCATCGCCACACTCGACGACATTGTAAAAAAGTGTATCAGAAAGTATTGGAAACAATATTGCATATTGATATCTGGTGACACGCGCTCACAGTGAATGCCCCGGCACCAACGGCTTATGTGCTTCTTTTGTGATGCCTGTACATCTTAAGTAAGTCTGATTTTGGTTCATTTTATAGTTAAAAAATAGAGCGTCGCACTGAAAGAGAGCTGCCTGGATTTTACGGAGGGCTGACCCTTCATTATTGCTGGGACTTAAGAAGTGAAGGGCAGAGGAAGATCTGCTTCGTGGTCTGTCTACTCACGTCCGTTTCGTTTGCCTTTTGTTTGGGCAAGAAGATGACACTATAAGAGTCATAATGTAATTTTTTTTTAAAAAAAGCACAAAAATAGCAAAAAGCCCAAACTGACACCTCCGTAGCAGGTAGCTCTTTCTGAATGAAGAGTCTAAGATTTCGTTCCACAGTCGATTCTACATTGGAAGTGGGTCGTGCTGGGATCTGAAGTGACCGGTGCTGGGATCTGCCCTTCGGTGACAAAGCAATGAAAAAGCAATTTTTTTTAGTGACCCTTCCACTAGGACGAGCCTATGCTCTAAGGTACACGTTACAGAGGGACCTAGGTCAGGAGCAGGTGGCCAGGCTTCTATGGGCTTCTATGACAGGGGAAGGGCAGGAAGGATAAATGGAGAATCCTCATCATAATCAACAGATCGACCCGCTACCCAGACCCTCCTTCCTGTGATGTTTATTTTAAACACGATGAGAGTGTCCGACCCCAAGCGCACTTGAGTATGCAACGGTCCCCAAAACACACTCATACCATCCAACAGCACGACAAACCACAGAACAAAAAGGTGGAAGGGCATGCAAAATCCTACTTTAACCAGCTGGGAGAAAAACGTTAACAGCTTTCGGTACAGAATGTGGCCACCTTGCAAACATAATTTAATTACTTGTTGACATTATAAGAAACCTTATTTAAATACAATGTTCCAAAGAAAAATGCCGTTACAATATAAAACCACAACAAAAGGTGTGTAAACAAACAGTTACATTTGGCTATAAAAGGCAGTGAGAGGGAGCGGGAAGCGTTCTAGAAAAAAAAAGTCCTGCAGCCTCTATTTACAGTTCTGGGGCTGGGCTCTGTTTGAAGCTGCTGGGAAAAGTCAGTCCCGCCAACCCACCGCCTTTGTGGGCTGGGCGGAAAAGCACGGGGCCAGTGACACGGGTGACATGGGCCAGCAAAGCGGACACCTATGACTCCTCTCACCCAGAACACGCCTGTTCGGATGAGGCGTATCTTTCTCTGCAGCTGCCCTTAGAATGAGAGCCGTCGGCAGCCCGGCCCTTGTACCCGGCCTTCGGTCACGGCGTCGGTGTGCCACCGTCTAAAATACGACAAACTGTTTCCTTCCAGTTTCAAAATGCCATACTGTTCTGCAAGCGAAGACGCCCATGGCTCAGGAACGATGTCTGTGTGGGCTCCATCCTTTCAACAAGGCCCAAGTGCACATGAGAAAGGCATGTTTCTGAAGACCGCAGCGGGTAATCCATATAAAATTTAAAATGACTCCAAAGGGACACGAGCCAGGCTCCAGACTGCTGACCGTGGATTCTTCCACTGCTTTTATCCTCGGAAGGCTTCTCAGACCTTTGGCTGGTTTAGAATTCACTTAGAGCAGTGTTTCTCAAGTGGGGGTGATCTGCCCCCGCCAGGGGACATGTGGCGATGAGCAGAGAGATTTTTAGTTGTCAGCTGACAGTGCTACGGGCATCTATTGGGTAGTGACCGGGGGTGCTGTTAAGTGTCCTACAAAGCACGGGACAGCCCACAGCAAAGAAGAGCCAGCCGCAAATGTCCACAGCACTGGCCCCGCGGGGCCAGGATTCAGAGTAACTGGGGACGTGCCTCTGTGCAGCTTCTCTGGGTCGTCATGTTCGTTGTCTTGGCTCGGTCTCGGCGAAGACCAACACTAACACTGTGACCGTTTTGAGACTGCACACTCTTCCTGCCTAGCTGGCTGAGATGGCCGTACCTAACGACAGGACCGACCTGGCCATGTGGCCCTTCCTGGTTGGGAATGGAATCCCCAAACGCCTCATGAGGTGTCAGGGAGCCGTCACGGTCTCAGCTGGGCGGGAAGGGGCCCACCTGCAGTGCTGCCTGCACGCTTCCCGACTGACCTGTGCGCTGGCCAGGTGAGGCCCCTGACCATTACGTCGCCAGCAGGAAGGGGCGCGGGACGCGGGCCACGCGCGGGCCTCTCCACGCACGTGTGGGTCTGTCCTGAGGGGGGCGGTTTCCGATAGGAAGTCGAGTTTCAAACAGGTCGGTTCTGTTAGCAACGCCTGCTGGGCTGTGCCTGTCATCTTTCCTTGACCTGAAAATGGTCATTCTGGATCCATTTTTTATCGATTTTAAAACAAGAATAATATACAGTGAGACTAAGGGAAGGCAGAACACGCTAGTAAATGGACATTTAACACGTCCCGCTAACATGAGGTCTCGGATGGGCCTTCTCTGAGAAAATGGGCTTCTGCGGGCAGGGGGACCCCGCTGGGAGGTGAGCGCGGAACTGGGCCGACCGAGGGTTGGTTTCTGAGGAACTTCACTGGAGACAGTCAAAGGGACGAAGGTCCAAATCTCAGGACTGGTGTTAACATGTAGTGACAGACTTTGGGGACCATTAAAGGCACAGGGATGAAAAAGCAGAGAACCGTGGTCTTGGGGTACGGCCACAGGATGCTGAGCTCAACCCACCTGCCGAGAAGCCCCCGAAGGCTCGGTGGTCATCTGGGCGATGTCCAGACGTTTGGAAACTGAGAAGGCGTCCCAGAGGCCCGCCCACCCCTTCCTTCCACCTTTGCCCAGGTTGCAGTCACAACTGTCCCCAATAACTTACTTTCCTGTGCAGAATATGACTTAGAACCATACCTTAGAATGAAACTGGGACTTCCGGCCCGCAGATGCCTGCAGTGTCCCGGCCCTGCTGGGTAGGGGGCACCTACCAGGTGTGTTCACCTGCAGCGCTCGCCACGCGGCCACACCTGGAGCACTGGCTGCTTCAGCGCTTCCGGCCCGGAGAGCGCGCCCAGGCTGTGCCTCCCACGCTGGCGCCGGAGCCGGCCCAGTCCTCCCGGGTTTTACAAAATGCTCGCGGAAGATGGTGACTCGTTTGGCATTGGGGGGTGCTAGGGACACAGGCGAGGGGATTTCAGCAGAGCAGTCAGTTGCCCAACAGCAGTCTGGGGGCTCCCGATGGGACCCTGCATCTAACAGTAAAAATCTTGTTTTCAAAAGCAACTCAAACTCCCAGCCAACCAGCTTAAAAACAAAAACGAAAACAAAAATGAAAAACTGAAAACCACCTGGGAATGGAAGCGCAGCCTCGGGTGGCCGCGCTGCGCCCCCGGCGCCCCGACGCAGGACGGGGGCGGGGCTTCGCTCAGGTGCAGGGGGCGGGGCTTAGCTCAGGTGCAGGTGGTGCTCCCCGCGCGTGATGTGGGACGAGAACTCGTAGCGGTCCTGGCTGTGGTAGCCACACATGTTGCACTCGAAGGGGTCCCGGAAGCCGTGGCAGCCCATGTGGATGGTGTACATGACGTGGTCCAGGTAGAGCACCCTGCAGTGTTCGCACTTGTACACCTTGACGGGCTCGCCGCTCGTGCCCACCACGCGGAAGGCGTCCTGCGAGCTGTCGGACGCGGCGCGCAGCACGTCGTAGGCCGGCAGCTCCTCCTTGATGGACAGGCCGTTGCGCGGGTGCGGCGTGATGTGGTTGGTCAGGTAGATGAGGCCGCCCCGATGCTCCTCCGTGTTGCTCTCGGTGTCCGTGGAGTCCTGGCAACTGTTGCTCGGCGAAGCCTCCCTCTCGGAGGACACGGACTTGGCCTTGGACAGCAGCAGCAGGTTCTCCACGGCGCTGTCCTGCGCGGCGTGGTTGGGCCGGGCCGGGCCCTCGCCGTGGGCCTTGTGCAGCTGGTACATGGGGTTGATGGCCGGCACCACCTCCGAGCCGCCGGGCGGCGTCTGCACCAGGGGGCGCAGCGACTCGGCCCCCAGGTAGCTGATGGCGTTGTTGATGGCTTGGTCCATCACGTGTGTCTGCATCATCTCGGTCTCCTTCTCGTAGTTAGTGCTGCTGTCATAGGACATGTCCGACAGGCACTTGTCCCCTGTGGGAAGCAGGTGACAATCAGTGAGGCCTGGATTACCCCTGGGCAGCAAGAGATGCAATCTTTGCCAAGGGGGGCACCCAACCCTGGGGGGAGGGGAGGGGGACCCAGTGTGACACAGACAAGCACCAGGGACACCTCCGACGCAAGGGAGGTTGAGCCCACTCTGCCCGTGGGCTCCTAGCGCAGGGCCGGCCTGAGACAGCACTTAAAGAAATTCGGCTGGACAAATGAGTAAACGGATAGGTGAGCCGAGATGGTGCATGTGAACACACACCGCACAGGTTCCAGTGGACTAGCGGATACTCGCGTCCTGACTGTGGTGGTATAATCAGACCTTGTTATACTTGAGATTAATATTTCAATAATGTATTTTCAACATGGTGTTCTAAGCAATTTATAATTTGTCATAATTAGATTTAATTAAAATACACGATTCCATGATCAGCCACCATAATGCCCAATGTATTTATTTAAAATCATATTACATGATATGTCCTCCTTACAGGTCTATTCCAGAATAAAACTTCATCAAAATATGTGCTATTGTATAAGCTGTATAATAAAGTGACCGCATTCTTGTCCATAACACAAAGCTGACTGGGCTGTGACAGGTGACAGTAAGGAGAAGCCCCAGGCTTCACAGCCCCTCGCCACACCCTCCCGCCCCTAAAGTCCCTTCCTGTCCCTTGTGAGTGACACTGGAACCCTGCGCCCCCAGGACATGTGCTGGAAAGTTGGGAGCAAACCAAGCGAGCTCCAGGGGACAAGGTGTTCACGTGCTCTTTCAAAAAACGACCGAGTGTGAAGGACGCCCTGGGACCCTCGCCGAGGCCTCCTTGGGGAGCGGCCCTCGCCCGTAGCTACCCACGGTCTGACCCCACCGTGTGCAGCTCTGTGCCCAGGAAAGCTGGAATCCGGGGCTAGCTTTGGCTTCTTGTGATTAGCTTTAGAGTAAACATTTTCGCAAAGAAATAAAAGGCATTTCTGTGACAAGCCACCTTCTCAGTAGGGAACGATGGCTTCGTGAGCAAAGTCAGTAATGAGCATTGGCACGCATCGTCAGGACTACTGATTTTCTTTCTTTTGAGGGTGGTTAATAAATCAAAGCGCGTGAGGCCATCCAGGGACGCGTCTGACATAGTTACATTTTACCCCTCATTCTGTTCCTTTTCTCATTTCTACACATCTTCATTGAGTGTCTACCATGGACCAGACAGTGGGGACAGAGAGGGGAGTGAGTAAAAATGGTCCCCGGCCTTAGCAGCATGTAGCGAACTGGGGGACAGGCATTAGGGCAGGATCACACGAACAGTGAGTGCGTCCCAGCCTGGGAAGCCCTGTGACGACGAAGGCTGGCTAGGACAGAGACACAGGCTTCAGACGGAAGGTGAGTCGGCAGGCCAGTGGGGTTTGCGTCCCATACTGGGACAGCGAGAGGAAACAGGAGAAGGAGGCTGCAGCTTTGTCGGGACTGCTGGAGGCGCTGGGCGTACAGGCCCGGCTGCGGGGCGGGCAGGGGACAGTGGAGTCTGTGGGCAGGGTCTAGACCACGGTGATGCTTTACCCAAAGGAAAACGGAAGCCACTGAAGGGCGTGAAGGAAGGGGGTCCCTTCTCGTCACCAAGGGAAGAACAGACTGGGGAGGGACAGAGGTGAGGGGATTATCTGCAGGCTGTCCCACAGTCCAGGATGGCTGACGGTGGCGGTGAGGGTGGTGGCAGCGCAGAGTCCCCTCCCCCCGCGCCGACACCTGACATCAAAGCCTTCTGCGAGTCCTCAGCAACAGAGGGATAAACAAGCCCGCAGTTCTCAGACTTCTTAATAATCCCTTTTTAAAAAAATGTCTGCGACGTTGATAATGGCCCGGGATTATGCCCCAACATACTATGAAGTATCCTTAGTAATGGACACTTATCTTGCTTTGTAATGGGTACTTATCATAGATCGGCCTGGCCACTATCCCTTTTAATCTACTGTTGGTCTGTGTGGCACATGCTTGATGAAGAAACGATGTGATTCTCGGATTACAGAAAGAAAATTTGTCAGCGGCCAGTCACACCCTCTGCAGACACACCAGAAATGGTACTTTCCCACCTAATCATCCTGTTTCTCCCAGAGTCATGGTTCTTTGGTTTCCCAAGCAACCACTGAGATCTGTTGTTTGTGAGGCTTGGTATCAACAACGAAAGGATGTGGGAGGCAGGGAACCCATATATTTCAGTTCACCATGGTGTACTGAAACAACCCACAGAATTTCTCTTTCTTAATACTCTACAAAGTGAGAAAAATAGATGCTCACAAAATTCACTTTGACAATCCGCTAGAGAAAGGAGCATATTCTAATGAAATACGTATTTTAAAAAGTCAAAGACCAAGGAAAGACATTTCTTGCATGAGCTATATGGCAAAGCTTGGCTGCTGATCTCACTTCCAAAAACCTTAAGTATCAATCAACACAATCCCCAGCATTTACCCTAATATATAGCTGTAGAGAATTAACTGTAGAGAATTAACTGACCAAACAAGCAGTTGAAACCTCCGCTAGCTAGAACCAGGTGACACTGGACAAGTGCATGGGGAGGTTAGTTCTCTTGGCAGGAGCGAAGTCCTCCATGCTCTACACTGAGGGGAGCCTGGCCCCAAGTCCCAGCATGTCCCCTGGGGATGGGAAGCACTCCCCCGCAGGTGCAATGACAACTGGTTTAGGGCATTTAAGCCACTCTCAGCACGAGGGGAGCTTGCCGAGAGAATGTCTTTTAACAAAGACTGCATTCTGTCTCGCCTGACTCCGCCACCCCACCCTTGGCATTCTTTCAAGATTTAGAAAAGTCGAGAGCTCTCACAGGGGAAAAAAAAAGTCTCAGATACAGTGGGAAAACGTTGCAATGTCAATCAAGATATATCAGCCCGAGTAGAACAAGCAAGATGAAAAGCGATGTCATAGTTACCATGAAAATATTTTGTGGTGATACCAGGGGCGAGAGGAAGTAAAGCACAGACCCCTGAGCCTATCCTAGGAGAGAAGCCTGATTCGAAGAAGACAGGAAATGTCTCATAATTGCTTCGTGACACGGACTCCATAAAAAAAAAATACAGAAAGACAAAATGCTAAAACAACAGAACGAGAGGAAAAAGGAGATTGCAGATTTCAGGGGGAAAAGATTGAAAAAGTATTATTACAGAATTAACACGTGGATTAGGAACAGCAAATAATAGAACAGAAACAACTAAAAATGGAATTACTGACATACAGGAAAAGCACAAGATAATAAGTGAATAAATGGAAAAAGCAAAAAACAAAACAAAACAAAACAAAACTTGAAATGCTAACAGATATGGAAGACAAATTATCCAACATAAGGACAACTGGTATCCCTCAACAGAAATCACAAAAAGTGGAGCAAAGATGCATTTATAAAGAAGAGAATTTCCCAGAAATGGGGGCGGGGGGAGCGGGAGAAAGGGAATTCCCAGATTAAAATGGCAGGAAAGTTTTATTCAGAATGCAGAACACCAAGACACATCCCAGGGAGGCTATTTAAGGTTCAAGAAAGAACTCTTCAGGGAGAACGTGAAAATCTTACCATCGGTCACCATGGCAAGAACTAAAAAGTTCTCTGGGAGAATAAAAGAGAGACCCAACACTGCACCTATGTCAAGATGCTCTCCAAACAGAAAGACAGCCTCGGACAGAAAACAATCCACAGAACCTTCTCCAAGAAAAAGCTGCTTTACTGTAACGTCCAATCAATTAAGAGATGCCTCAAAATAAACAGAGATTGTGACACCTGAAACAAATATAATGCTGAATGTCAACTACAATTGAAAAATCTAAAAAAAAAAAATTCAAAATAGAGAAAGCAGAAAAAGGACTGTATGGGAGCCTTGAATCAATTTAAACGTAGCGTCTATGATACATAGCTCCACTATTACGAGAATTCTGATTACAGAATGGAATGGGAAATGATGAAGCTGGACAATGTAAAGACAATAACACAGCTGAGCATCGAGAAGTGCGATAATGTTCTTATTTTTCAAAACAACGAGTCAGGAGATACGGCTTAAATTGATATAAACGGATTAAAAATTATTTAAAGGTCTTCATGTTTTCATAATCTATTTTTAATCTTAGAAAAAGCCTTGGAAAAATAGTATCTTCCTGTGAGAAAACATTTATCTGCAGATGAGCCAGCCCTCCCACTTGGTTTGGTCCTCGCTTGCCTCTTAAATCCGAGACATGGAGACATGTGATGCTTTCACGGAAATGGCATCCACAGTGTGGTAGAGAGTCCCCACGGCATTTATTTCACACCTGTATCAATCCGCCTACTCATTATCCCCTCAGCGCACATACTTATGCATAGAAATAAAAAGGTATTTAGAATGAATCTCAGCTACTCTTAATATTGGTAATTTCTGGATGCTGGGTTTCGTGGTGATTTTAAAACATTCATCTTTGCGTTAAAATTTTTTATATTAATCATGTGTCATTTTAAGAATACAATAGGGTGGGTTTTTTTTCCCCCTTAAAAAAGAAAAAGATAAGGTGATTATAATGGGTAGCAGGGATATTGATCATTGTTATTTTCCTGTTCAATTTCCTCTTCTGTACTTAAAAATTGTCTTTGCCAGCATCACCAGACTAAAAATGACGATTAGCTTTGCTCTTCAATATCGCTCCCTTTCTCATGAAGTCCGTTGCCCTAGTGACCTGTGTCTGCTTATCTCAGAGGATGAGGCCTCTGATGACATATAATGGTGAGGAATGCTGCTGGCAAAATAAACACTTATTTACACTCGTGACAAAGTTTAATTAACAAATGTTAACCACAGATGACACACCCATCAGGCAAAAATATAGGCCATGCTGAGCAACGTTCATCATGAAAATACTATCGGCTCATGTTTTCGAGGTGCCTGGCCCTGTTGATGGCACTGCCACACCCATCACACTGGGAGGACGCAGGCCGCCGGCATCGCACCCACGTCACGGACGGGGACAGCGATGTGCTCAAGGCCACCAGACAGTCATAGCTGGAGCCGGACCCTGTCCCCAGGTGTCCTGAACGCAAACCCATAGCGTTCTCCAGTGCACACCTCCTGAGCCAGCGCGCGAGGTCCGAGCTCATTCCCACTCACTCTTCCTGGGTCTACGGAAAGGACACACCTGACACCCAGGGAGAGGTAAGAGGGACCTTAGAGGCCCATCCCTGATCAGAGGGTGACAAACCGACCCATGAGGTGTGGCAGCCTGAAACCACCTCAGAGTGGGGCGAGGGCATTTGGGGGCAACAAGGGCCGTTAGCTGAGAAATCAGTCGCCACCCGCCGGGCCCTCGGGGGACACCGGCAGGGCACGGGGCCCCTGCGGGCACACCTTTCCCTTGCCTCTCCTACCGGGGCGCCTTTCCCACCTCACCTTCGCCTAAGGGAAGCGTTGCTTGTTTCCCTTAACATCTGCACCGCAAAACAACACCTAAGTTGTGGTCTCAGCTGAGGTGGCTCCGGCAGGGTTTCACAGATGGCCTCATTCGGTTTGAAGTCCCCAAAGCGATCACAGGTGGCCCGTGCTCACTGACAAAGCCCTTGGTGGCCGCCCGCCCCTGACCTGATGGAGGACGTCGTCCTCCGCTTCCCAAGGCCTGTGGCCGTGAGCGGTCCTTGGACACCTGCTGGCTGGTGTTCGTTCTGTCTCCCTGGTCACCCACCCTTGGCGCCTCCGCTACGCTCCGAGTGGCCCTCAGCCCAGGGCAACGAGTCCCCGTCACCAACAGCCCCTGCTGTGCTCAGGACCACACTCGCCAGTCCTTGGAAGCGGAGGCCTCACGTTCTCAGCCCCGAGAGCGTCTCCAGCCGGCCGTTTGCAAAAACGCCTTCACCCTCCTCCCCAACCCTGGCGCCCCCGGCCTGCGATGAACCTCTGCCAAAGCCTGATCACGTGCAGGAGGCAGGCCGGGGCCCCTGGAGCGTGGCCTCTCCTCTGCCCTGCCCGCTCCTGCCGGCCCGTCTGTCCTGCAGGACGGCAGGCACCCCCAGAAAACCCCGCTTTCCACCCAGCCTCTCTCCCAACGCACACTTCCCAGGCGCCCATGTGCCATCTCTGCCGGGAAGTCTTTTCCCAGAGCCCGCCGCCACCCCACCCCCCCATCACTTCTGCAAATGGCCGGCCCTGCTGGAGCCGCCGGGACTTGTGGACTCCGTCGCCCGGTCCCCGCCGGGGCCCTGTGCCCCTCCCTCACAGCCCCCCGCCTCCACAGACGCTTCCTTCCTCGCCCTTGTCCAGTCGGCCTTGGTACCCATGGTCTCCACTGTCCAGGATGCTCGCTCTGCCGACTGAACGAAGGACACCTCCCCGCCTTGGCCTTCGAGGGCCGCCACCCTGCGGCCAGAGCTCACTGGGACGATGTTTTCACTGCTTCCTGAGGACCCCTGAGGTAGCCTCGATCGCGCCCACGCCGGCCCCACAACCACCGTCGCCCTTGTGTTTAGCTGTCTGCTTACGACCCTCTCCCTCTTCCCCCTGCGGACAAAGCGCAGAGTCCCTGTTCCTCCCTCAGGGCCACTGTCAACTTCAGGAGCTTCGACCGGACCCCCCGCCCCCGGACGCGGCCCTCCCGCACGGTCCTGTTCCTCCATCGTCACCCCTGCGATAAAGTTGACCTGAGCACTGAGCGCTGTGAAATGCTCTCACGTCCTCGGCGTTAATTCACGTTCACAAAGTGCCATGAGATGCGTAAAGAATAAAACTAAGCCTCAGAGAGGTCGTGGGACGTCCCCGAGGTGTGACGCTGGCTCTGCACTGACACCGCAGGCGGGTCCCGGGCCCCGTGCATTTCCACGCACACACTGTCTAGGCGTCACTGCCTGTGCGCAGTGTCTCGCCCGGTGACGGCTTCTGGTGCATTTGTCTGCCACCCACGGGACCACAGCTCCCGGCGGAAAGGGCCGCCTCCCTGCCTCAGCCCTCGAAGCTCCCGGCACAGGCGGAGATTCGCCTGTGAGAAGAGCAGTGGCAGCCGTGTCCCCCTTTGCGGGGCCTTCTCCTGGGCCAGCTGCTGCGCGACTCCGCCATTAGTGTGGAACGGGCTCTGTGAGCATCTGAAGCTTAGGGGGGCTGCTCGGGCAGGGGGTGTCCAGGCTGTGAGGTGAGCCCCCCGCCCAGCGAGGCCTGCGCCCTCCACCCTGTGCACGCGACATGAAGCGTCCACAGGCGGATCTCCCCGACACTGCAAGGTCACCTCTGGAAAACTACTGGGGACAAATCTGTCATTTCTAAGAGGCCTGGGGGGGGGCGGGAAATTCCAAGATATCTAAGAAACGTTAACCTTGGCAATTGCTGCTTTTTAAAAAATGAGATACTTTTCCCTCTTCCTACCCCGAGTTACCACCTGAGTCTAAAACACCCGATAGTCGTTTATTTTTTTTTAAGAAACAGCAAACGTTTAACTCTTACCAACAAATTTCTGAGGCATAGAGCTCTTACGTTTGGCGACGTTACTTGCTAGTCTGTCCAGCACGAGGGAGCGCTCACTCCCCGTCTTGCACAAATCTTCTGCCATTTCGCTGAGATTAGTTTCTTCTTTAATGACTAAGGTCAAAGACAGAGAGGCCAGTTTAGAAAGGATTACAGCGAAGGGATTCGCGCCCCGTGTGAACCTGACGTTTGCTGAGCGCCCACGAGAGCCACGCCCTTAGGGAGATTATTTCTCGGCTCGTCAGCAGCCCCGCCAGGCAGACCGAGGCTGGCCAGAGACACCCGCGGAAGACACCTGCTAAACGCACAGAAACCCCCAGACCCCAGGAGCAAGCGCCGCCACTGTCACCGGGAGGTGGACTGCGATTAAGTAATTGTGTCCCTTCGACGAGTCCTCTTTTCAAATGCTCCCAAATTCCCTAACTCAGTTGGCCTGACATCACCTGAGAAAGAACTGTCGCGCTAGAACGCGTAAGGGGCCGACCGCACCCACGCACGGGGACCCGAGAAGCAGAAGCGCCGTGGCCGCTGAAGGTGCTGCAGCAAACCCGGTGACACGGGGAGCGGACCCAGAGCTCCGGAGCCCGCACCCAGCAAACGCCTGCCGGCCGCGGAGGCAGCCGTCGGCGCGGGGAGTATTTCAAGCCCGTCTCTACTTTTCTTACATCATCTCTTTCTTTCCACCACTGAAGAGCCAACTTTGTATCCTGCACGGTCTCACCTGTATTCCAGTGTTTGTGTTCGGATTTTTGGTAACATAACTTCTACCTCCCTGCGATTTATCCTAACGTATAAAGAGCTGAAAAAGTAAATTGATTACTTTCCAAATAGATAACCAGTTCCTCCAACACTGTCTCTGGATGCCCACTAAACCCCCTGCCACATGCTTCCTCCTGCCTCCGGTGTGGCGGGCGGACTTGTCCCAGGGTCTTTGCAAAGCGTCTCTTTCCTGCGACGGCCTCGTCTGCTTACTCTCCAAGGCGCCTCGCACTGCGGCTGCCTTAAACACGGCATCAGCCATCACTCTTCATTCAGAAGATGCCAGTTCCCTCTTTGTTTTTCCAAGATGCCTCACGATTTCTGGTGACCAAACCCCGGGGAGATTCGCAGACCAGTTCTGGGTGACACCGCGCCTGGATCGGGGACACGTGTGAGGCTGCAGCCCCGTCCCCGGCCTTCCGCGCGGTCCTTCCTGCCTCGGGCAGCTCGATAGCTCTCTTCGCTACGTACGGCACGTTGCCAGTGAGGGCATCTCCGATTATTTTGTCTTCCTTGATTCACTTTATTTCCCGTCACTTATTATCGCTGGTAAATGTAATTTTTAACATTAGAAATGCGTGTTTCACATTAAATGGGCAAACGTGATACTGACTTAGATGAGAGATGCACGTAAAACCCGTAAAGTTCAGTCTCGCTGGTCGTACTTTGGACCGACGGAGCTAACACGCTTCCCTTACGGGTCCCCCATGTCCGCTGAGCAGGGCCCCAGGCCGGCCCGGGGTGGCGGGGGTGGGGGGTGTGCAGCACCTAGGTGCCAGCCCTCGATGGTCACAGGGGGTGACGACTCAGCCCACAGCTCCTGGCTGCTCTGCTCTCAGACACATTTCACTCTAAGACCTCGTGCAATTTGTGCACATGAGGCTCACGAGAAAGGTGCTTTCCATGAAGACATGAGGGAATTACAACAGATGACAAAATGCCTCTTAGTAAATGGTACTGTGAGTCATAAACATCGATCTCATCTACACCCTCCACGCTAGGCCTCGTTTGTACCTAATCCGCAAGAACAGCCTGTCCTGGGGGCGGCCGGGAGAAGGGAGGGCCTGGTGGGTGTCCATCTGGGCCTGGTGGGCTGGTCTCGGGGGCGGGAAGGACACGAGATTGGACAGGCTCAGTCGCCCCGGCACAGCAAAGCCAAGTGACCAAGTGACAAAGACACCCCGCCCCGCCTGCTGCCCGCCCTTCGAATCCCAGGTGTCATCTTGGAGGACGTTCGTCAAAGTGTTTTACAGATTCCCAAGTCCCTGTGGCCGGCTCACGAGAAGGCTCCTCGCCTCCTGAGACAGGAACACAAAGACACGTGGCTGTGGAGCTCCAAGTCATTCGATCTCTGATGGGGACAGATTAACATCTGGGACTGAATCGATGCTGACCACCAGGGAACATTTAACACACATGTTATTAGTCTAATATTTAATGCACGTATAGGTGACGTATGAGCTCGTCGACGTTGACAGCCAGAAGAAGAGAATCGAGAGTCAGGTGTCGACACTTGGGTGGCCTAAATTCGTCCGTTTGGATGAGTGCGTGACGCACACCTGCGTCCCCTGCCGTCACGTCCATCCCTCCTCCACCGGTTGGCCAGGTAGGAATTATCCCTCCCATCTAAGAGACGAGCTCAGGGTCACGTTCAAACAGAGATGCAGAACTGGAGCTGGAAGCCGGGTCTGGAAGCCGGGTCTGGGTGACGGGCAGGCCGCTGGTGCCCTGGGAGCAGCCTCAGCCACCACGACTTCACGGCTTCCTCCGTCCCCGAGCGGGCCCTGCAGGAGGCCGGACACTCTGCCTCTCGTGCGTTTTGTCTTCCAGTTTTAAAGGGGGACCCGAGGGCTGTGCTCACAGGGCGAGGCACTGCAGGTGACAAGTCCTCAAGTTTTTGTTGAGTGGACAAACGGCCGGTTAAACATGTATCGGGAATACTCACTTCTGCGATCCATTAATTCGCTTTTTTTTTTTTCTTTTTTGCAGAAAAATACATTCTGTGCGTGCCCATCTTTTATTTTAAGGGAGCATGAATCACCGTCTCATCCCTTAGTCTCCCACCTCGCGACACGGCCACCCCGAGAACTGCTGCCTTACTATTATTAACGATCATTCCTAACATCCGGTTTTCCCTCCTGCACTGGCCGGCAACCCTGTTCCAGTCCAGAACCGGACCTCAGAATAGAAGGGCAGAGAAACGACCCTTCGTGGACAAGGCCGGGGGGCAGCCACCGGCGGGGAGCCGGCTGGGACGGAGCGCGCGTTTCGGGACCGCGGCCTCTCGCCACCCAGACGGTCAGGACGTCCTCTGACCGCCCCCGATCTGCTCGCATCTGCCGTGAGCAACCTGAGTGCGCCTGGGCGCACGTGGGCCGCGGACGCGTCACTCAACGACGGTCACGCCCCTAAGCTTTATGTTCATTTCACCACGATAAAAAAAAATACGACAATTGGAAAAAGTTTAAAATTTAAAAGGAAATCCGATGGTTTCGGGCGGAGCTCCTTTAGGAGCCGTCCACTGACGTCACAAAGCTGAGGGAGGCTTCGTAAACTCTCAGCTTTGACTTAAGCCCCCCAGTTTATGAGGGGTTCCCAGGGATCCTAACGGAGCAGAGTTAGCGTCAGCCGGTCTGCTCTCGAGAGACTACAGTCTGATGAAGTCAGGGACGTGCCTTTCACATGCCTCGCTGGGCATCATCTCTACGTAGTTCTGCCGTGGAGTCTCGGATCGGGGTGCGTGGCCGCCTGGAGTGGCGACGCCCCACAAAGCAGCCGAGCGCGTGAGAAGGCCCCGCCCTGGCACCCTGTGACAGCTCCTTGTGACAGCGCCACGCTGCCAACTGCCAGCCCTTTCCGTCAAACTTGCTTTCTCGAGGGAAAATACAGCCTGGCAGCGCTCATCCGATCAACTTCACCATCAAATTGTCTTTCAAACGAGATCTCACGCCCCGATTTGGTCACCGAACAGAGAAGCCGTCAACACTCCAGGTTAAAAAAGCCGAAACAGAAACGAAAACAAAAGGAAAAACCGAAACCAAACGCTCCCGTCTCGCGGCGTCCGTCCCCAGATCGCAGGAGGGAGGAGTTCTGAGGTCGCACTCTCGGTGACACGACAGCTTGGGCACAGTGCGCTCCTAACGGGACGTGCGGCTTCCGTGGCCAAAACCTCCCTGGCCCCGGTGTGGAGGGCCTGGGTGCGGGCCTAGGTGCCAGGCCTGGCGCTGGCAGCACTTACCTGGGTACAGGGTGCCCGGAAGGCCCATGCTTTGCAGGTAGTTGTGACAACGCTCCTTGTGTTCCTCTAGGGAACTCCGCTGTTTATAGCTCCGGCCACAATATCCGCATTTGTGAGGCTTCCCAACTGCGGAAAACACAATCGAGATTAGAGCCCCAGTTACCGCCGGCCTCACGACGCACGCAAGACAGTCACGCCCACGACGCCGAAAACACCACCCCCTGAGCGCAAAGCCTCCCGGGCGCGCTCGGCGTCACCGTGGTTAAACGGGCCGGCGCCCAGGGCCCGCCTTCGTCCTGCCAACGCCCGTCGTCCCGTTTCGTCTTACTGTGTCCCCTGCACTGACCACCAAACTCTCTCCCGCTGGACTCGCTGGCGTCTGTGCTTTCACCGGGGACCGAGCCTGCATCACGACGCGCTGGCAGGGACGGGAGCAAGGCCCCGAGGCCTGGGCGGAACGCGGCCGCGCCTCCGCGGTCAGACTGCCCACCTCGACCCGGGCCGGGCCGGCGTGTCCCCGGTGTGTCCCCGGCGTGAGGCCTGACCGCCGAGGAGAAGCCCGTTCCTGGGCGCCACGCCGGACAAGATGAGGTCTCTAAGGAGCCCCAGCGGGTAGCTGCGCTTTAACGAAATGAGCCATTCATTTCCAATGCGTACTTGGAAAACGTGTCCTGGGAACTTAGGGAGACGTGGGCCCCAGATCAGCCCTCGCCAGCGGACCCCACTGTGACGATGCAAGCATCGCCTGTCTCTGTGCTGTCCAACGCGGCGGCCGCTGCCCTGCTCAGTATGGCCTCCACCAGCCGCCTGCGGCTACTCAGCATTTCATGTATGATGCGTGTCACCGAGGACTGAAGTTTTAATTTTGTTTAATTTCAGTTGATTAAAATTAAAACTTAAATACCGTGCATGGCCAGTGGCTACTGTATTGAGCAGCGCTGTTCAATACAACGAGCTTGGTTCTTCCTGAATTTTATGAGCGGTATTTTAGGAAACAGATTAGCACAGGTTCACGTCCTGCCTGGCTTTAAACACTTCATTCAGTAGATAGCGTTTTAAGAGATGAAACGGATAGAGTATCTTCAATTACTTATATAAAGAAGATAAATTTCCATCCTAAGACCAGAATAATTTTCTACGTTCTTTCCTACTGTTAGATTTCACATAGTTAAAAGTATTATATAAAGGTCAATACCATCCAGATAGGAATGTTTGCTAAAATGGTTTAGCTGAAACCTGTATTGGTTAAATCTCTTCCTTAGGTGAACAGAAGCTATGTTTTAAAAAGACTAAAACAAAACCCAAAATGTGACTTCTGGGTCATTAACTAGAGGAAGAAAAGGCTCTTTACCTGTAGAAAGTGTTGTGTCCCTAACATTAGGGAAATGTACAATGTTGTGCATTTTATAGGGTATAGATAACCCCTCAACGTCCTTTCCTAGAACTTCGGTCAATTCACGTCTCTGTGGCATTGGGTCTGAACATCTGTTTTTCTGAGTATAGAATTGACTTTAACTGTGGAATCTAAGACATACACTCACTGTGGCAACAGAGCGAAAGTATACCTTGAAGCAGAGCTCGACGTTCTGGAGGAAAGACATCTCTAGCTCAGCTTGCAACTTGCAAAAAAAGAAGTGAAGAGGGAAGGGCCCCCCCACCCCGACCCCTGCAGACCACCCGGGCCCCTCCCGCCATCCGTGTGCGCCGCGTTCTCTAGCTCCAGCACCAGCGCGGGACCTCGGGCCACCGCCAGCCACTGGGGAAAGCGGCGAGGCTGATCGGTTTGTAGCAGGGTTGGGGAGCGGCCGTGTCACAACGAAGTGGGCTGTGGCCACGGCTCAGTCTGCAGGCACAAGCCGAAGTCTTCACTTCGTTCTAGCAAAATCGTCTCGTAGAACTTGAGTCATCATGTTTTTCCAAGAGCCGTGTGTCGGTGGCACCCTCCGAGGGCAGAGTCACCAGCAGCCCTGCATCGGTGAGGGCTTTGTATGACAGCATCGCCTAGCTGCTCATCGGTGGATCTCTTATAGGACAAACGGTCCCAGGTCCACCCGTGTCCTGCCTCGGACGAAGCGAGCAGGTGTGGGGCCAGGGCACCCCCAAGCGCTCCTGCATATGCTTTCCTGGCCTCCCCAGAGCAAGGACAGAGAGCAGGGTCACTTCAGAGCTAGGTGCCGACATGCGGGAGAGATTTCCAGTGCAAGCCAGGGGGCCGCTGACGTGGCCGGTGCAGAGCAGAGGAGCCTGCGCCTTCGGCCCCCAGGGCGGGCTCTGCTCCCCGCTGCCCCCACGCAGAGTCACTGTCAACTGCACTGACGCCTCATCCATGACGTCTGCGCAGTTTCTCGGTCCTCCGTGGCCCGTCAGGCACCGTACGCGGCTCGCACAATCGTCACATCTGAAGCCTGCACGGACCGTGCTTGTCACTTAGTTCCCACGCACCTTCAGCTCCGCCCGGGCAGGACGCGTGCTCCTCACTCACTACCGACACGTGGGGACATTTGCAAACGCTGTCTTGTGGTCACCATCCCACTTCAGGAGAGCCCCACATCCCGTCCCCTGTGGCAGAGCCCTCCCCTGGCCTCCGCAGGTGCCCATGCCGATGGGGCGGTGGCGGCTTTGCTCTGTGGGGGTGGAGGTCACCCCCTCCCTGTGCTCCCACTGACCCCTGGGATGCTATGCCACAGCTCGTAAGGCGCGGTGCTTTGCTACTCTGCACCTGTCTCCTCCACCCAGCAAGGGGCGCCTGGGGTGCTCAGTACGTGGGTGACAAAGGGACACAGGCCGAGGCCTCTTGAAGCTGACGTTAGCTGTACTTGTCCCATCTGGGAAGAGGCGCCCTGAGCCTAGGAGACCTTCGCACAGGCACAGCGTCCCTGGTCCCTGGCCTGGGGGCGTCTGGGAGGGGCTGGTCTGCAGGCTTCCGTCTCCCCCAGTGCCCTGCTCATGAAGGTCACCGGATGGGCAGTCTGGATGGGGGAGCTCTGTGAGGGCGGGGGATGGGGTGGGGAGGCAGTCATCTGTCCCCAGCTCCGCAGGACGCTGTGGCGAACACCCTGTGGGCTGGACGCGTGGCATGCCATGCAGCCCCACACTGTCCTCCCGTGACCTGCAGGGTTACGGGGCCACTCGATCACGAGAAGTGGCAGGAAAGATTTCTCAGGAGGTGGCACAGCTAACCCAGTCAGAGGTGCGATGTGCTTCCGGGAGGGGGTGTTCTGAGAACCACAGACATCTGTGCTTGCTGTGCCCTCGCTGGGGCTCCGGATGATTTGGGGTGCGCTCACTAAAATCCAGCAAGAGCCCCAAACTGGCTTCTGCTACTGAGGCCTTGGCCGGCTCCCGGCGTGAGAGTTACAGACGGGCCAGTTGGGACGGCATGCCCTCTGGCGACAGGCGTCCACCCAATCAGGACAGGTCACGGCAGGCCCCGAGTCACCTCGTCTGTCGCCTTCGCCAAGAAACATCCCCACGACGGCCACTGAGACGCTTTGCACAACCAGCAAAGCGCGAGAAAGTGTGGCTGGGCGCTCGCGGGAGCATCGGCCGGACGCCCCGTGGACGCGCAGCCGGAAAATCCTCTAAAAAGACCCACTTACCTGACAAAACGGGGTGAGGAGGGCTCTTCTGGAATACTCCACCTGCGGTGGAGTCTGAGTGTGTGAGGCTTCCCCACCCCCTTCCTCTGCCCCCTGGGA